GAGAAAAAACCCCTCCCAAAAAAAAAAAAAAAAAAAAAAAAAACCTCACGCTGGGAGCATGTGGGTGCGTGCCCAAGATCCTGAGAGGAGAGTGGAGAAGAGATTGTGACACAGCCTTCCCCCTGGGGAATATTTCTCGGTTTCTGTCTCTCTGGTGAGTGCAAACACCCTAAAGCAAAAATCTCTTTAACAGTGGGATCAACAGATGGCGTAATGGTTACGTCACTGGACTCCCACGTAGTTGACTGTGATTTGAGTTAGGATCCAGCAGCTTAAAACTCACGCTGGGCACATGTGCGTGCATGCCCAACATTCCGAAAGGAGAATGGATGAGAAGGGATTGTGTGTGGCCATCTCCCCGGGGAGGGGGGGGTGATTTCTCGCTTTCTGTTTCTCTGGCAAGAGCATGTATCCTATAGCGAAAACCTCTCTAAACAAACAAACAAACAAATCTCGGTAAAAGAAAAAAACAATTCACATAATGAATTGACAATGAGCAGGTTATCTAGGAGCTGAATCGTTTCCCTGTGATGCCTTCTCCCAAAGATGGCTTTATCGCTTTTAACTTTTTCCTCAAACATTTTCCAGGCCCCTCAAGCTTTCCAACTTCCTTCAGACACATGTAAATGGGGGCAACAATGGCGACAGCGCTCAGTATGTGACATGGCCATCAGGACAATGTTGAGGTGCCCTTACAGAGCAGGACAGGCCCTGTTGCCTGTTCTCACTGCATACACGTGCCAGGATCTGCCTCTCTCTTTAATTGCCGAGGGGGCATGTATGCTTGCCAGAGAGAGAAAGGGAAAGATAGAGGAGAGAAAGTACTCCCCAGTGGACAGTGATCACAATCGCTTCTCCATTTCTCCATCCTGTTGCTATCTGGGGCACACATGCAAATACACCCAGCATGTTTTTCAAGCCACTGGGCCAGAATTCCAACCATGCAGTTGGCTATGTGGAGTCTGACTTCCTGACCACGGGTCTGGTCCACACATCATCTACTTTATAAGCCCACCCTCTTTTGGCCCCCGTTCATCAATTCTTTCATTCAACAACCATCGCGTTGCTAACTCCTGTGTGCTAGAAGCTGCTATAGGCTCTTTATTTTATTATTTTTTAATGTTTATTTA